GACTAAAGGTGTCCCATGTGTAGATATTCAGTTGCAATGGAAATATCTTTGATGGACATTTTCTGACGGTGATAGGAAAATCCCAAAGAGGGAAAAGGGTTAATCTAAAGAAAGGACAAAACATTAATCCATGAAGACAATCCAACAACAGCTGTGTCTGTCTCTTGTAAAGGATAATTAAAGCAATTATCAACATCTGTAAGGAAGACACACAAGTTGGTGCGTAATTGAAGAGTTCAAAATTGAATGTGAAACCTGGGAACCAAAATTAAAAGCCTTGAACTGTGTTTCATTGTGTTAATACTTTCATTTAGATACAAATACTGTAACTCAATAAGGAAAATTCATTATTACAACCTTCTGGCTAAGATTCAGATGAAGTGTTTGAGAGAGAATCCTACTAGGTGGGTCTCACATCTCACACCAAAATACTAAGAGCTGCATAAAAGTTATCAAAATGTAAAAATACTGGTGCAAACTGTATGGGCTGTTTCTTGATATGCGTGAGGCTAGAAGCATCACAGAGTTTTTTGGAAGCATCCAGGTCTTGTGTACGCTCTAGACTTTTGTTCTTTTGGCAAGATACAGGAAAAATGTGCATTTGGCTTGCAGGGGTGGGGAGGCGAAGGAGAAAGGGGAACCATTTGTTTATGCTTGGAAACTCCCTAGACATTTCATGAGAAAATCCCTCAGAAAAGAGAAAATTTCTGATTTACATTTTAGTATCAAAGATTGTATAGGTGAAGGGCATAATATAGGGCCTTGGGAAACTTGTTTTTAATTCCCAGGGCTTCTTTTCAAGCTAAAAGGAGTCCTCGTGCTTAAAGTTCAGCATAAGCTAAAGTCTTTGACTTAGAATAAAGCCTTTATCAAGATTGCAGTGAACTCCTTCAGGTTGTATCCAAACTTGTGCATATTGCATATACCTAGCACAAGGTAAAAAACATCCATCAAAAACGCTTTCATTTTTTCAGCTGTTGTAATTGGCTGCTGACTAGCTTAGTGTGTTTAAAATACAGGAGCTGAATGCAGAGATATCACCACAAGCAGCCAACCTGCCAAATTTCTCCCCTAAAGCCTAAGAGCACTGGCATTAAAGACCTCTTACAATGAAGGCCAGAGAGGCTGCCCAAAGATAGCTTGGTGCTGATTGCATCCAAGTGCTGTGCTGTGGCTGCAGAAGTAATGGGGGGAGTTTTGTGTCTGCCTGAATCGAGTTAAAAGCTTCAGAAAACCCCTATCGTGTAGTATTGGACTTGTCAAAATGACAAGGAAAAGCTGCAAAAAGCAACGGGAGAGATTTTTGCAAGATATATATATGCATCAAATTGTTGCAAAACAAAACTTCTCTTGCTAAAACAGCCACTTGCTCTGGAGAGGTGCCTGAGACACGGACAGCTGGAGTTGATGTACGTCAGATGTGGGCTATATGGAAATGTTTTGATCTTGGCTCATCTGCTTTATCCTCCTGTCTTATTCTGCCCATGCTCTTACTTGGAACAGATAAAACACTAGAACAAGTCAAAACACAGTCTCTTTGTTTTCCTGACTTTTTTTTCTCCCTTCCTAAACTAGAATTTTAAATGTCAGCTTTTCAAAATGTGGCATTTTCAGAGAAGTGTTATAGCCTGGATCTTACTGAATGGAAAATGTATTTCCAGTTCAAAAGGTTTTAAAACAAAACAGGAAAGGCCAAGACACATGAAAAAGACTGGGGGAACAGCAGCGGAAGCTCTTCTCCAATTAGATTTTCAGTTGTCTCTGTCAGCATCTTTTCTTCCTAGGGAATTTGGAAGAAAAATTGAAATCTAAATTTTGCATGCCTTAGAAACGGTTCCCTTCCCTGGCAGCACCTGTAGACACCATGGGTTACATGGCTGTGGAGAAAATGAAGACGAGAGAAAAAACACTTATTAGAGCACAAAGTTTGACACTTGCAGAAACAGAGCTGTTCTAAAATGCTGTCAGCCTTTTGATATTCCTCTGCTACCTCAAATATGCAGAGCAATATGCATCGACCTGAAATATACTTCAACTCCATGACCTCAAATATACTCAGAGATGATAAAGCTGGCAGGGTCACTATGGTGGTGCAGTTTTAACCATGCGAACAGCTTTTGTCCCAGCAGTGTGGCTTTACTGAAAGATGTTCGAAGACATCGTCTCTTTCTTGGTAACAAAAGATGACTAAAACCCTAGTGATGATGGAGCTAGAGGGATTGGGAGAGTATCTAAGCGTACTTCAGAGATCTCTGTCTTTGGTCTGAGTCCAGCACCATGATTGAGAGAATATATGCCCCCTCTGAAAGGAGTTCAGAGCTGAGGAGCTCTCGTATGCTCACTTCTGTCTGTGGAGGCATATCCCATTTGATGCCTTCTGTTGGCTCAGCCAAACGGTCAGGAGTGCCCAAGCCCCATGCATTATGTCTGAAGCTGCACATCTTTTTTCAAATAACTCAGCTCAACAAAGGACATAACTACGTACTTGATGATCGCCTGTGTTCCTAAAGGCTCTTCGTGAGGAATGATCCTCTGTGTAACACAGGTAGGAGTCCTTGCCTCAGTGATTTGTGTCTCAAAAAGAACATAAGCAGGTTAAATTTCTAGTAAAGCATCCGATGGAGAATTTGCTAAGAGCTTTGCTTAGTAGTTTGCATTGCCCAAGCACCTTTCTCAGGTTTGACAATACGTCATTGAAAACTCCAGATGTTACCAAGTTAATTACTAAGAGAAACTTAGTTAATAACTACCCAAGGGCAACCTGGAGCTGGGTTAACATGCAAGATCCCCATTTTTCTTTCTAAAAGGAAATTCAGGTTGGCCTTCTCACTAACACCTCAGGGTTCCTTTGTCCTTGCTGGTGCTCTCAAGGGGAGAACAGGGAATTGCTGTCTGTGCCTTCAAAGCACCAGGAGGGAAATGGCATTAGATATCTGTATGAATCTATATGGATTCATACAGACACAGACATGTGCCTCTGTCAAGGGATGTCTTTCCCCTACCACACTTGAGTCTGGGATCCTCGAGAACAGAGCAACAGAGTTTTTGTCTCATCCATTTGGAAGCAACTGAACTTCCAGCAGGGTGCCAGGGCAGTGTAACACCTACAACTTCAGCCTGTAAAAGGGAACATCTGGGAAAATTTGTCTTCGTTGCCGTCCCCGGGTATAGCTCTGCTCCTCCTGCTTTTAGCCTTCACTATTTCTGCCTTCACAAGTTATAAAAAGACTGAGAAAACATGAGGAATGTAAAGCTTATGTTACAATTCCCTCCTACACTCACACGCATGTTTCCCTTTCTGATGTGGAATCCTGCCTGACACCAACCATTTCCATGCGTACCTTTCATTCCAGTTGGGCATCCAGCAGACTGTTTCTCTCTCAAGGGAAAACAACAACAACAACAACAGCCAAAAAAGGAAAAGTAAACCAAACCAAAGTAAATTAAATGTCCTTTCAGCCAATTTTATGAACTGCCCTCAGCTATTAATTTACCGGCACTCTTCCAGACAGTGGCAGCTGCTCCAGCGCACCAGGCTGTGGAGCGAGCTGCTCCATGGCAACAGCCAGCAAGCGTGGACATACCCAGCATAAGCATCATGCAGGGCCACTGAGGGGGACTCAAAAGGAGCAAGAATGCTCAAAGTTAAGGTACTGCATCTTACCTGAAAGGGAGAGGATCTCCAGAGGCCACGGTTGTTATATAGGTCAGTGTAGGCTGTGTAACTATCTGGCTGTCAGAAACTGCCCTTACTATAGGCATACTACTGCCTCGTGACATGAGAAATCTTATAGGTGGTTCTAGTTTGTAAGACATAGGTTAAAGTGTTTTTTTGTATACAAGCATGATTCATTTCTCCATCTTTTAAAAAGGCTCACAACAAAAAAATTGCTCTTCGTCTGTTCAAGCAGAATAAGGAAATTGCATCACTCTGTTCTTTTGGGTTTTTAAAAGCCTTTTAGGGCTGAATGACTCTGATGTTGAGTTTGATGAAGCTGCATACAGCAGGCTGGAATTCAGTTTCAGGAGTGGAAGATGAAAACCTGTTTTAAGATTGTTTCACTTTAGCAGATCCCTGTTCTGGTATGGAGTATACAGATCCCTGATATCCTTGGCTTTTGGTTTGTGGTGGAGGTTTTTGTTTGGTTTTTTTTTGTTTCTCAGCTGTGATTTTTATTTATTGGAATTTATTGTAACAATTCTGAAACATGCAAGATTAACAGCCCAGGAGAAAAATGTCACAAAGTGGCAGTCTGAGTTATACCAGAAACCCTCTCTGCTGGGGATATTTCTAGAGAGGAGGAGAAGAGCTTAATCAGCTCTGTCAATTCATTAGCCCTTCCCTTCTGAGGCAGGCACAAAGAGTCCCACATAGTGTCAGTACTGTTGGTAGCTGTTCTGAAATAAATACAAGTCCAGCTTGTTTTAAATCAGGCCACTGAGCAAGTCATAAACTGCTGTAAACTGTCGTTATCATGTGAGGCTGAAGCAGTTCTTTTGACACCCCACGACTTTGATATACTTGACCTTTCCCTGAAGACTTCTCAATTTTATCTTTCTGCTTTTTATGGTTTTAAAATACAGAAGATCACGATGTGGGTTGTTCCAAAGACTCCTGAGGCAATCTCAATAGCCACTGATGTCCTGAGCCCTTGCTGAGACGAGCACCATTCCACTCCACAGCCCTGCTCTTCAGTATGAGGAAACCCAGGGGAAGGAACCTGTATATTTTCCAGAAGGTCCCCTAGTCCTCTGGTCATTAATAAAGCAGGGCTACTGCTCACACCTTGGAGGATACCTCCTTCACAGTGCAGCTGAGTCAGCCTCGAAAGGGGGGTCACTTTCCACTGACATTGAGCAAGTTGAAGTGACCACCTTCCCTCTGGTAACATCAGACCTTGTGACTATCCTCCAGTTGTGGTCTAGATCACCTCACTGCTCCAATCTTTCTCAAAAAAAGCAGAGTCTCTTCTGACCCTTTCTTTTTTCTACGACCACAGGGAGACCTCCAGAGATCCCTCATTCAGGTGGATTTTGGAGACGGCATCGCCGTGTCATATGCCAATCTCAGCTCAACAGAAGATGGAATCAAGCACATCTACCAGAATGTAGGCATATTCCGAGTGACTGTGCTGGTAGAAAACAGCCTGGGATCTGACAACGCTGTCCTCTACCTGCATGTAACGTGTATGTATGTTCATACTAGTTGTTAGCTTCTGTCATTCTTTCAAAAATTATTACTTGTCCTTAGAAATGACATTTGGGTCTTTGCAGCTGAGAGCAGAGTGATGGGATATGATGAGTGTTTGTCTGTCCTCCAGCAGAGGACTCCAGGCTGAGAGCAGCCACAGGCAATAGTGACATAGCTTTTAAAACCATGTTCAACCTCTAATTTTGGGTCTAATTTGGGACAGCAGAAAGGAGTGTCCAGCCCTTTCTGAAATACACTTTCATTAGCATGCTTACAGTTCCAGAAAAAAAAGGACATCTAGGATTTTTAATCCCTTTTAAAAGCTTTGACTTCTACTTTGTACATGTGTTTTTTCCTGTAATGAAATACAACCACATCTGGGATGGAAACCAGTGCATTTCAGTCTTTCTGTTGTCATAGGAACCAAAATCTTGGTGTTAGAGAATATTACAAGAAAAAATATTATCTTCACATTGCTCTTCTGCTGTTCTTTTTAACCTTTTTATACGTCATCTGTCTCTGGTTTACAACTGAAATGTTTCCTAAGTCCTTGCATAAAACTGGCAATGTATTCTTTCATATTTATTTTAGTGTGTGTTTATGAACCCAAAGGGTCAACCTATTACTGAAATTTTGTAATATCCCTGATGAATTTTGTCTGGGGCCATCATTTTCTTTATACAGTGGGGTGCTTTTTGTTGATTATTTATGTTCTTAGCTGTGTGCCTCTGTGCCAGATTTACTGAAAAAATAGAAATTCCAAAACTCGAAGTTACCAAATTAACTCCACATATTCTCTAGATAATTTAGCACAATCCATATACTTGAGCTCTTGTTTTGGAGTTCCTTCATGCAGCATGAAAGCAGCTGCCTCTTCAAGGGAAGAGGGCAGCTCTTTAATGGTGCACCGTCATATTAACAGATGGGAGCAGTGGGAGGTATAGCTGTTGGAGATAGAAGGTTTATGAGGGAGCACTAGAGAAGCGGGAGCAAATATCTCCCAGTATGCCTCCCTTCAAAAAAACCTTTGGTTCATGATCATAGTGCACCATTTATGATTCCCTAACCTGATAGATCCTGGTTTGTGGCAAACTTTTATGTCACATAATCCTTCAGCACATCACGTTTGAAGAATGCCTTGCAAAAATAACCGTACTTGTAAATTAGCTTATTGTGAAGTTTGGGGTTTTGATTTGAGGGCTTAGTCTGTATCACTTCTGTGCTGAGGCACTGGTGCATCAAGGAAAATTCTCAGCTTTTAGACAGCTACTGGTTTTGTTTTTTTTTTTTTTTTTAGTTATTTAAGTATCACCCTAAGTAGCGTAGAGAAAAGGACCTCTACTCAAATAGACATTTATATGTTTTTGTGTAATTTCTTTGGTTCTGGAGTCATATTCCAGTTTGCCTCCCTGTGTGTGCTTGGGTAATTATCACGGGAGCTGCTGCAGGCTCTGAATGCAGAAATCCCTCTCCCACTGCTGCTGGTTATGGAAGTCAGCTCAACAGGAGCCGTGGTGTTTTTTTTTTTCTTTCTTTTACTCTTTGTAAAGGTCACTGGAAACAAACAGAGAAGTGTTTTGGTGGTTGATATTTCGCAGGAGGTTCTGACAGCCTCATGTGAGCTGATTTTGTAATCATTTGCTGTTTGACAAGAGACGATTCCGTGAGGACCATTGCACACCCTCAGCCTACCTGCAAAGTAATGAGGCTACATGAAACAACAACTGCTTTCTCATGCAACAACAACAAAATGGAAGGAGAAGGCAGATGTCCAGCCTTCACTCTCACTCATAGCGGCTCTCTGACTTATAGCTGTTTTAATCCATTTTCTTGGGACATTGAAGGCTTAAGAACCATTTGATTGTTTTAGCAATACAAGAAAGAAACAATATTCAGATGTGTTCATGTGACTTAGCAGCTGATAGCGTATGTTTCTGTGTTGTGTGTAGGTAAGGCCAGCATGGCACTTAAGTGCTGCATGATCATTGCAGTCAGGCCCAGATTATGCGTGCCTCACCTCCTGGAGAAGTGACAGCTCTAAGGGACATGTCTCGCCTTTATCTACATGACAAGAATTAGGGACTTCAAAACAGGTTGCAGACCGAGCATGGTGCCACTCAGACTAGCAATAGATTTGCTGAGGACAGAGATGTATAATAAATCCAGCCCACTCCAGAGGGGAGACCCAACCCAGATCCTCAAAATCTTCTAAATCCTATTTGAACGCTTGCATTGCCACTCGGCTCTCTGCTGAGCATTCTGCTTGGGGTGTATGAGCTTGGCCTTTGGGGAGTTTTGTAAAAACATCTGTCCTTACAATAGACCCACACACCGTATTGCTAAGATCCCCAGAAAAGCAGCGTGCAGCCTGAATATCTGGAGAGTTTTAGGAAGGGCTGACTGGGTGACCCCATGTTACAGGGTTGATTTACACGAGTGTGTGCAGCCAGGTCTGGGCCTTTCAGCACCCTTCCCTACCTGTGCCCAGCAGCCTTGCTGAGGGGAGAACTACAGGCTCTCAACCACGGTGCTCCTGACCTCAAAGACCAGAGTGAAGCCTCCACCCAGTGCCCTCCTCACCCTGCTGCGGCCATGGGGCCAGCGCACTGCAGCAGTGCCTTTGCTGCAGTGGGTCCAGGGATCCAGAAATGCAGGTTATTGTGAGGCAGGAGCATTTTGGGGTGTATGGAAAGTAAATTGTATATAAACTGCTTCTCCAGCCAACAGGCTGTCTCTGAATTGTCCTGACAGGTCAAAAATTTCCTCTGAAAAGTCAGTTACGCATTTGTCTGGATGCTGCAGAATAACATCACCTGCCTAAGTGAACCTTTTAGAAAGCTTCTCCCTTTCTCTTCTCTAGGACTTGTACACAGGTTGTTTCTCCCTGGAGCAGGTGAAGGCCTGTAGTCTCCATGGCCCTGCGTGAAGCTCAGAAATTAATTCTCTTGAATTCTCTTCAGACTTATCTGGGAGAAAGCAGTCTTCTACCAAGCTAAGGGCCTATCCAGAGTGTGCTATCCCCATCTGCTGGCCAGATAACAGTTCAGCATTGCAGCCACTGACTCATCAGCTACGTGCACAGAAACATTCAGGTGGAATTGGCTTGCTTGAGCCATTCTTTCATGTTCTTTCCTAGCTGGCATATGGTGGAAGACCAAGGAGGTGCTGGGCACTCTCTGCAGTGCGAGATCATTTGAGATGTATTCAGAGCAGCTATGCAGTTATGGTGGACTGTATTAGACTTTACATGGGCTCTGTTGTCACTGCTGTCACCGCATCCAGTGTTCAGAAAGTTATTCCTTTAGAGGGCTGTGCTGACATTGGGCATTTGGCAAATATCCCAAAAGATATCAGAGCTGAAAAATATTTGGCCTGGGAAGCTGCTCTTTTTCAGGTCTCAGGGTCTTCCTGAGAGCAGTCAGGGCCCCATGATAGAAATGTGTCTGAGCAGGGAAATGCCATTAAAATCATCAGGGTGAAATTCTTGATTCTCATGAATTTTCAAGATGATCATTGACTGCTTATTACAAAAGGAAAAATGAGCCATGATATGGCCTATAGCAGGCTTTGGTTAGTCTGATCATAGATAACTCTTAATTGGATTGTGTCAGGTTAAACAGCAGCTGTGTCTGCATCCCAGAGAAAGCTGCCTTTCAGTAATGAGTGAGGAACACTGGTCCTTGTTTATGCTGCCATTGTTTATACAGTCTGATTTGGGACAATTTTTCCACATCTCTCTCTCTCTCTAGCTATGTGTGCTGTGTAGGGGTACAGAGTGCTTGCTCCAAATGTGTGGTGTTCCTTTAGGTTGAAAAGCAAGGTGTAAGTGGTGGTACATGTATGGGATATGTCCTGAAAAGCCCTCTCATGAAATATGTAAGATCCTCTAGCAATGTATCTCAACTCCGTACGGACAATGCAATCAATCCTCCCAAGCTGTGGTCTCTGCTTCACATCACTGAGGAGCTTGCAGATGCAGGACATGTAGATGTGGCCTTGTATTGGGTTTGCGTAACAAGGTTTTGGTAGCAGGTGGCTTCTGTGCAAAGCTGCTAGAAACTTCCCCTGTGCCCCATAGAGCCAGTGCCAGCCGGCTCCGAGACGGACCCACTGCTGGCCAAAGCTGAGCCCATCAGCGATGGTAGCGGTGCCTCTGGGAGAACAGAGTTAAGAAGGGCGGGGAGGGCCGGGGGAGAACAGCTGCACAACAAGCTGCAGCCAGAGAGAGGAGTGAGAATATGAG